TGTTCTCAGGGTTACTCCTGGCTCTGCACTCAGGGATCACTACTGACAGGGTTCCAGGGACTATATGGGACACGGGGGATTGAACTCCAGTCAGCCGCCCTATGTTCTGTTCTACTGCTCTGGCCCTTCAATAATATATGTCTTAATATATATTTTAAATATTTTTCTTCTTTGGGGCCACACCTGGTGGTGTTCAGGGTCACCCCTAATACCCCTGGCGTTTGGGGAATATATCCAGTGGTATTTGCGAGACATGGAATGTCATAATGGATATCAAAATTGGGGTTCCTGCTAGCAGAGCATGCACTCAACCTGTCAATTGATCTCTCTGACCCTGATTTTTAAACTTTAAAGAACTGGAAGCTTAAGATAATTAGGAAAATATTTCTGGTACAAGCACTGTAATCATTCAAATACTAATATCAAGTTAATACAAAAATAACCTATTGCCCACATTATACATTTGCAGGTAGGTTTTTAACAGAAGCATACTATAGGTAAGGTATACCGAGACACTCCAATTATGTTGAAAGAAATGTTTCCAAATTTAAAAAATCAAATTATTGTAACTATAAGATATATATGATTTTTTCACTCTTGTGAATCAAATATAAGACTAAATATCTTCATTACTAAGCATAATAATATTTTGATAAATTTGTGCCTTGTGATACCTATTAAAAGCCCATATTTTAGTTTAAAAGTGAAGATTGTTAAGCACAACTATATTTCAAGAGAATCCTTTCAACATATACTTACTCCTAATGAATGTGTCTATAATGTAATCACTATCTAAAGCAGAATGTGTCTTCGAAACTAAATGTTTCCAGTATCTCTGTAATAAGCACCAGCTACAAAAATGAACTCATCTTTTTAGTGTTTTATAATATTTTCATGGATCAGAATTCTCTTATTGTTTCCATTCACTGGTACAAAAAAAAAGCTTGTATTTTTAGTAGTTATTATGCAAATGAGCTTGGGACTCCTACATTAAAAGATGATGTTAAAACTGGGGCCTTTCTATAGTTTCATATTTTTTTTTGTTTTTAAGAGCACCTAACATCTCAGGGGGGTTATTTAAAAGGCTTAACATTAATAATAGACTCTGATGTGAAAATTATACTACAAAACTCTGTCATGTACTTAGGAGAAAACACAATTTCAGAGAGCTTTTTTTTTATATTGGAGAGAAGGATATGATTTTTTTTTATTAGTGAAACACCATGAGGTACAGTTGTAGACTTACAAATTTTTGTGCTTGGATTTCAGTTATACAAGGATCAAGTACCCATCCCTCCACCAGTCCCCATAAAGACAGTCTACAGAATGGGAAAGGATATTCGCCCAATACACATCCGACAAGGGGTTGATATCAAGGATATACAAGGTACTGGTTGAACTCCACAAGAAGAAAACATCCAACCCCATCAAAAAATGGGGCTATGAAATGAACAGAAACTTTCTCAAAGAAAAAATCCGAATGGCTAAAAGGCACATGAGAAAATGCTCTACATCATTAATCATCAGAGAGCTTTTTAAGAAGCGACGTGCTGGGGGCTGGATATACTTTAAGGCACGTGCCCCGTGTGTTGCTGACCCAAGTGGGATCCTGGGCACCACGCGAGCACCACCAGGAGTGACTCCTGAGCAGAGAGCTAGAAGCAAGCACTGAGCACTACAAGCCAGGACTCCGAACCCAAACATAAAGAAATAGATCAATCAATCAATCAATCAATAATAAAATAAGTAACGTGCATAGAAAAAATTTTAAAATTCAAGGATTATTTAATTCAAAAGTCTCAATTTATAAAACAACTAGAACAATTTCTATAATAAATTTGCAGGACTTCTTGGAAGAATCCTTTTAATCTGTGGGGGAAAAGGACTGGGCTACCCCCAGTGGTGCTAGGGAAGGACTCCCAGTCTGGGGGCAGAGGAATTTACTCTAGTGCTTGGGAAACCAAGAGGTGCCAGGGGTTGAATAGGGGTCTTGAGTGCGGTAGGCAAGTGCCTAAAACCCCTGTACTGTCTCTCCAGCCCCCCATTTTTAATTTACCATGAAATATCATTCTACCCATCAGTTTTTCTGAGAGTTACAATAACAGATGTCTTAATGTCTCTGAGAAAGTAACGTACTCATATTAAAAAAAAACTATTTCTTTTTTGGTGACATTAACATTAATCCACTATTTAGAACTATATCAAGAGAGGATCTGTTTTTTTTTTAAATCATTACCTTCGTTTCTTATAAAGTGAACAACTGAGTGATCATAAAAGGTGTAATTAATTAAGTATCTGGGATTCTAAGACTAAAGTGACAATCCTTCAATAAAAATGGTTTTGTTTGTGTCTGTGGGGATGGGAAGGCATTTGCTCGCAAGTAGTGTTCAGGGATCCCCGAGGGCCAATCCCAGGGACATTTGGCGCGTGGGCCAGATGGTTCCCTGCCTGGGCCCCACAGTGCCACACTGTTCAGGTCCAACAGTGCTAGGAGCCATCAGGGCACAGGCAGCTCAGACACTTCTCTCAGGCAAGCCATGGATTCCAGGCCTGTGGGCTAACTCCCTGGTCTCAATCACACAGGCCACTTTAATCTCTGGCAGTCTCTAGAGTAACGTCTCTACTTTGGGCATAAAAATCTGAATGATTTCTAAGCTATTTAGAAGTTCGAATTTAAATGATTTTATAAAATTAAATAAGAAAATAAAAACTCCTCAAAACACTCTGTTTAGTTTTGGGGCCAGCACTCTTCAGGGCTTACTCCTGACTCTGTGCTCAGAAGGGAACACTTCTAATAGGCTTGGGGGGCCCTATGGGGTGCCAGGTACCAAACCTGGGCTGACCACGTGCAAGGCAAATGCCCTACTTGCAACAGCATCCCTCTGGCCCTAAAACATTTTTAACGTGTGATATGTCTGAACAAGACAAACATTTGATCTATATGCTTAATTATTTGGCACAACGCTTATAGGGATGTTTTCATGCCTCTTCAAACTATGTTACCACACCAGCTAAAACCCTGAAGTACAAATAAATCTTCACTACACTGGATATGACAGATACTGTATTTTGGAAGAGGTGGCAAATTAAATGCAAACATGACTAAATTCTTCAACAGAAAAACTCATTATCTCAGAAATCATTAGCCTAAGGAAATATCACCAGGACACAACAATACTTAGGAGCGTAGATTAGAACTGAAACACTATCTCCAATCCAGCCCCCACTTTATCTTTCTCTCTTCTCTCCATGTGCAACATCTATCTTTCAAGACTATTATTTCCAATCAAGAGATAAACCCAATTTGTATTTTAAAAACTGAAGTCATACCAGTCTATCAGAACTTTAGATTATATACCAACATGATATCGTGTCAACCAAAGCAATATGTCTTTTGAGAAGTATGAAGGTTTATAAGCAAATGTACTGCACACATTAGCTTTCTCAAGTAACTGTTGACCTTTCTAAAATTCGGTTATTACACAAGAACATTCCTCAATCTGTTGAAACCTCAAACTGGGAACTGACTCTATAGGGTAATTCCTTCACTTTAGGTGAAGGAAAATACAATTAACCAATATCCAGAAGCCAGTTAACGACAGATTATTTTCACACGGCTAAGTTTAAATAAATGTATTTTATAATCTTTAGTAGTCAGACATTTAAACATTGCTAGAATAATAACGTGGTACTCCAGACTGCCTGATTGATCCCATTTTTCTAATGATCAGACATAAATTGTTACTTGGCTCGACTCCATTATGGAACACCTTTCTACCACCAGCCATACACTTTTTTCCCCCTTCCTGAATCTATCATTTCACGTAACAGAATGTCCAACATGTAGAGTAGAGCATTTATCTCCGCACAGAATTCTGCTTCTTGCCAAATATTTGTATTTGATGAGCTCCTTTTCAATTGGATTACTTTTATAATAAGGTCATACCAAGTAATTTCACGCTGGTATTATACTGGACTTATACAGATGAAAACCAGACAGGTGCTGAGGGTTAGAAGGAATAATTTACTAGCAAGGAAGTGGTGTCACATTTGCAAATACACTGCTGGACATTTGAAAACAGAAGAAAAATTAAGAGCCCTAGTAATTCACTAATTCTGACACTTAGAATATTCTGAATTGTTCTTAAATACCTTTAAATCTGACATTTTTAAATCTGGAAACAAAGAAAGTGAAGAATTATATTGCTAAGTAAAATTTCACATATAAACAAATAAAATATACTAGAAAATGTAACAGTAATATTACTATTGTTACTAAAACACTATATTAATGCCAGTAAAGTACTAATAAAAGTAGAAAACAGCTTCTTCATGAATGTAGGAATATAAATCTACTATATATTTCTGCTCCTCAGATTATATTCCTTGGTTTATTTCAATTTACTAATATATACACTTTAGGTGAAGGAAAATACAATTAATTAATAAAGGAATTAATAAATTTATAGTTGTTCTTTCATAATACTCCTGTTTTGTTCTCAATTTTAAGACTATAAGAAACATCTGTGATTAATTTTTACGTGGGAATGTATCAAATTTAGGCATATTCCACATCTTCTTGGATTAGCAGTAATCACACAATGGATAAAACAGGTTTCAAAAGAAAAATTCTAGAAACTAAAAATAAAAATAGCATTCATCACCTAAATTGCAACTGTAATAAAAATAGTTCTGAGGCTTTAATAACTATCCAAATTAAAGATATTATGTATTAGTTATGAATCAACGGAATTAATACTTATATTCGTCTACAAATCCAAACACATTTTAAAACATGGCAATTAAGCTATGCTTCTACATCGTGTCAAAAATGGCAGTGACAGAAGATGTTCTAGGGCTTAAACAGTATTATATCTATTTGTCCAATTTTAATATGTAAAATTAACTTGAAAATATTTCTCTGGAAGTGGCAGGTTAATTGTGCAATAGAGACCCACATTGTTCAAGTCTTTAAACAAAAGATCGAATGTCACTAATACCTCTCTTCGACGAGAAGCCCAACATGTTTGCTTGATCTTCCATATCACAGCAGCCACCAGTAATAAGGATAAAAAACAACTGAAATATAGAACAAATAATTTTCCTTAACACTTAAGATATGTGATTAAATAATAAAAAATATATTGCTGAAGAAATACAGAGAAGTAAAACTCTGGATGATAACATAAAAATGATACATTAACAGTTATTTAATGCTCAGAAGTAAAATCAAAGTAGACAGCTAATATTATTTATATTTCTTTCTACACACTATATTTGATCTTTAAGATTTCTCTTTACATCAGTAGGAATTTAAAATTCAAACTGCACCGTATTTATGAGGCAACAGAAACCTATGTAGAACTGATGAGTCATAAAACAGCAAATTTATAAATTCAAACACCACGGATGTTCATTCACTTGACTTTGTTGTCAGCTAATTTAGATGTGAGACTATTCCAGTGTCTTTAACTAAAGATTCTGTCCTCCCTGCCACCTCCCAGACACAGAGCTATGTCTGAAGATATTTTTTTGATAATTACAATGGACAGGGGGTCCAATGGCAGCTAGAGAAAGAATCCAGGGGTGTGTATAAATACCTACAGTATATAGAAGAACTTGCCCCCAACAAAAAGAATTAACCGGTCCAAATGTAAGTCACAAGCGGCCAACATGGCCGACCCGAGTTCGATTCCTCCGCCCCTCTCGGAGAGCCCGGCAAGCTACCGAGAGTATTCGATATGCCAGACACAGTAACAACAAAGTCTCCAATGGAGACGTTACTGGGCCCGCTCGAGCAAATCGACGATCAACGGGAGGGCCTTTACCTTTTAAATGAAGTCTTAGTTAAGTTGAAAAAACCTGTATTATATTGATGTTTAAATAAAGAAATAAATCAGGGGCCAGAGTGATAGTACAGTTGGTAGGGCATTTGCTTTGCACTCAGCCTACCCAGGTTCCAACCTTGGCACCATATATGGTCCCCCAAGGAGCACTAGAAGTGATCCCTGAGCACAGAACCAGGATTAAGCCTTGAGCACTACCAAATATAGCACCCCCCCCAAAAAAAAGAAGTAATGAAAAAGAAACAATTCAGTTATAATATTTACACATATGACCACAGATATAAAGCATAATATGCAGTAAGTTTTGATAACATATGATATGCTGTCAGTATTAACTTGGGGTTGAAAAATCTCAAAACAGCAGTTTTATTGGCTCTGATGGATCAATCCCAAACTTGTAACACTGTTTATTTTCTCTCCTTTTGCTCTGTCCATCCAGAAGCAGACCAGGGCTACTACTAAATTTGGTTAGCACTACCAGACCTAAGTAGACTCCTTAATTGATAATCCTTGTATTTATTTGTCAAGGATTCACTCATAAGAGTGCAATTTCTGACTATTCCACTCTAGCCAGACCTTTAGTGTATTTTATTTCCCATTTCACTTGAAGAGAAGATCTTAGAATATCTTTTGATGATAATGATGACAGCAATTTCAGTGTCTATCCACGTAGTGTGAACACATTTCCAATACTCTGTCCGTTCTCAGTGTTGATAAGGTAAGTTTTCTAAGAACACTTAGAGATATGATATAACATTCTTATTTCACAAAAGATGAATCCAGTGCTCAGAGTCCATAGTGAGCTGCTTATACGGCAGTCATATTGAGGAACTAACAGAGCAGAAATTCTAATGCAACTTTAAGAGCCTGGCTGTTTCTTCATGTATTGTCTCACATTAGGAGCTTGTCTGCCAATTTACAAAAGTTGTATTTCCGTATCATATCCAGTCTCTAATCCTCTCTGCAGCATCAAGAAAGCAGATAAAAGGAGTGAAAAGTCACCAGTCCTAATATTTTCTAACACAACCACTAACCTTTTAAATTACTTTGGTTTTTGCATCATTATTATGAGGAGCAGGGGGGCACACCCAGCTATGCTCAGGGCTTACTCCTGATTCTGTGTTCATGACTCAGCCCTGGCAGAGCCTGGGACACCAGATGGGGTACTGGGAATTGAACTTGGGTCAGCCGCTTGCAAGGCAAGCTACCCTTGGACCATCCCTGAAACATTATATTCCTCCCTAATATTTATAAACCCTTTCTCTCTATTTCATCTTAGTTTACATTTCTAAGAAATGTTCAAAGACCATACATATTTCCTCAAAAAATAAAATCAAGAACCCTACTTAATTAGCCCCATAGCTTCCTCCAGATCAGAAGTACCCAACTCATTTGGCCTACTACTCCGTTTTCAGGAAAATAAAAAAACACTCAATGATGATACTGCCCACCACCCCAAATTTTACCTTCTTTAAGTGAACAAACAGAAAGAACCCCTGCCCCCAATCCAACCAAAGCTATTATTGCCTCACCCGCCATCTCAGTGGCCCCTAGGAGAGACTGTCACCCATTTTAGCAATCACCAATCTGGTTTGTCCTGTCAACCAAGTCAAGGTTCTCATCATCTCATAACCTGGCATCTGACTTGTAAACAAATGCAAACATTAACACTAGGATCCAGACAAAGTTCAGTGCTAGGGCACAAGCTTTCTCCACCATGACCAAAAAGATGTTACTATTAATGATTTAAACTTTAGGCAATATTGAACATGATCAAGGATATGTCTGTCACCATGTCTTTTTAGAAAAGATTTATTCTATAACAAACAATTTTCAGATCTTAATTCATAGTACCAGCTAGACAAAACTCTGTCTGAATATTTTATTCCAGTGAATTTCCTTCTTCAGGACATACTCTAATGTGAAGAGAGGGAAGATAATTAATTACTGCTCCCTCTTTTAAATTGTGGGTATCTTTAAAGTCTGTTCAAAACACAACACTTATATTTTTCCTTTACTCAGTGCAGTTTTTCTCATGGTTTCAACTTTGACCTCATCTGGAATTAGTTTCAGATCTATGTCCTTTGTTCTGAGAGCATCTAATTATTAGAAGAAATCTCAGAGATTATTTAGTTCAAATTCTTTCCCAGAAAAGAAATTCCCAGGGCAACTTTAACAGTGCATCACTCCTAATTAAATACTCATCATAGTGGAATGACTGATAATTCAGAGTTATGAGAATTTCATTTACAGGGTAACTCAAACTCCGTACATGCTCTTTTAAGCATCTTTCTAAGCTACCAGTTAGTGCTTCTCTGCTTCTGTCTTCTAGGTTACCTAGAATCAGCTGAAGTCTTTATTCGCTAAAACTTCAGTTTTGAAGTATCTGACTTAAGGAATAATATCTTTAGTAACCAGTGGCAGTTTTCAATCAGGAGAGTTTTGCTCTCCCTGACAAGTTTGACTTAGCACTCTTTCATAGCAAAGTGGGAAATACTGCTAACACCACGGGGTGCTGGAACACAACTGTGGGGGTCAGGGGTGATGCTAAGAGAGTAGCAGCCTCCTGTTGCTAGGGGATGCTTTCTGTTTGTTCAGTTTCTTGGGGTGGGGGCATGGCGGGGGACACTAAGTTTTGTTTGGTTTGGTTTGGTTTTTCCTGAAAAGGAGTGGCAGACCAAAAAAGTTTAGGAAGCTCTACCAGACCATTCTGGATGTCAACATTGAGTGGATATTGAGAAAGATGCTGGTAAAGATCTAGTAGTAATTCAACACTCCCTCTTCCTTCAAAAGAAGAAAAAATGGTGTGTGGGAGGGAGGGGAGGTTTCCGGTCCATCCTTCTAGTTGTGCTGAGAAACCCTGTTTCAGTCTAAATTATTACCAAGTTCTGAGACTGTCTTATTATACTCAGGTTAACACTATAATCTTCAAGATATGGCGCTGAAACTAGGTACTTTGAGTGTCGTCTGAGTAGCCCACTTTAATGATTTTAACGTGAGAGATAGAAATATCAAACCTGAACTGGAAAGACAGTACAGTGGGTAGGGCTCTTGCTTTGCACAAGGATGACCCAAGTTCAATCCTGGCAACCCACATGGTCCCCTGAGACCCACCAGGAATGTTCCATGAATGCAGAGCAGGGAGCAAGCCCTGAGCATCATCAGGTGTGCCCCTGCCTTCCCAAAAGTAAAGAAAACCAAACTTATTATGTCCAAACTAAACTCATAAATGCATTAAACCATTCTAAAATGCCTGCATTACATATAACAAAATTTATTTTATACTTGTCAATTAAAGCAACTCAAATACTTAAGTTTATCTTTATTTCTGTTAATTCCCAATATTCCCCAGCAAAAAAGTTACATGATATATATATTCATTAAAGAAGCTTGATTTTTCAAGTGATAGTTTTTGTTCTTTTAATGAAAAAATACACCAAAAAGGTGGAAATAAAATCCATGGATTAAATTAAGTGACATTATTTTAAAAGGCTATATAACCTATGGTAATATACAGTTACAATGCTGTTCTCTAAAAATATAAATGGCATCCTTTACAGAAAGAGAACCAAAAGTCATGAGGGTTATTTAGAACTATAAAACACCGAAAATAGAGCAATACTAAGAAGGGGGAATAGTCTTGCACTCGCAGACTTCAAATTATATTACAAAGTGGTAGCAATTAAAGTAGTACTGAAATAGAGACACAGATCGATAGAACAGAAAGGAGAGCCCCAAAATAAAACCAAACACATGTGTAGCTCTAATTTATTGGAAAAGACCCAAATGTACATCCCAGAGGAAAAAATTCTGTTACACAAATAGTGTTCGGTGAACAGGACAGCCACATGCAGAAGAATGTAAACTGGTCACTATCTAACAGCATAACCAAAAAATAACTCAAAATTTACTAAAGCTTTGCACATTAGATCTATCTGGCACCATAAAATACATAGAAGCAGAGCTAGGCAATGCATTCCTTGATATTAGTCACACAGAGATGTGTAGAGAACTCAAAGTCAAAGGGAAATAAAGGTAAAAGTAAACAAATGCGACTACATCAAACTAAGAGTTTCTGCACATTGAGAAAAACAATTATATTAAAAAGGTCCTACTGAACAGGAAAAAATATTTTAACACATGTCCAACAAAAGGTTATTAAACAAAATATACAAAGAACTTATTAAATCTCACAATGAAACAAACAACCCAATTTAAAAATGGACAGATCTA